GATACTACCATCATCTTGGAATCCTGTAATAAACATTATAAAATTTAACAACAAAAACAAATATAACAGACCAGTAGATGTAGTTAGTTTATACTGTGTGGGATATCCCAATGATAACACTAATTCTGATTAGTATTTTCGTCTATAAAGGTAGCAATAGTGTTGCTTAAAATTTTAACTTTAAATAATAGCAATTTAAATTGAATTTATTTATTTATTATCAAGCACACTTATAATACACATGTTAAACAATTCATTACAATAATTAAAGTGAAAAAAAAAAGAATCTGACATGCATATCAATAACAAGTGTACATAGCATTTATAATATTATGGAATAATTGTGGTAATTGAAAAAAAAATACAAAATTAACAAAAATTTGAAACAACATAATTTAAAATATAAAGTAAAAATAAAAATAATAATAATTTGATTGTAGTTAATTAGATTATATCTATATTTTTAAATCACAGTTTGGATAAATAATATTCTAATAGTTTGTACTTTTAATATATATATTTTTTAATATTCTTTATGGTTATACATAATATAATAATACCAACACTAAATAACAATATTTATAGTATTAACAGCTAAAATGAAATAAATAATAATGCTATATTTAATTATAATACTTATTAATTATTATTTTTTTTTTAAATGTTTAGAAATAAAAATCCACATATATGATAAGGTACTTTAGTGCCATTTTTTTGAACTTTTTTTTTTAAATCATTTTTGTAAAATAGTGGGTAGGCACTGTCTGTAACAAATGTGTTTGAGACGTCTATAACCGGCTCGCCCGTGACAATGATTGCTGTAAAGCATTCGAAACGTCGGGAACCAAAAATCAAAATAAATCCGTGAAATAATCCGAAAAGATAGTTTTATTTAAAATGTCTAATATTCGCGTAAATCTAAGAAAGTATTTTTTTTGTTATCAAGTTTTAAGTAGGTAGTACATGGACAAAAAAAGATATGTTGCCAAAGATAGAGGGCGATGGTGGCTAGAATTGCAAAGTTTTGATTTCAAAGTACATTATCGGCCGGGTGTATTAATGCACCACGTGGATGCATTAAGTCGTAATGCCCTAACTATGCAACATATTAGTGAGGAAAATTGGATAGTAACTGTTCAGAAGGATGATTTAAAGATACGAAACATAATTGTAAATATTAAAAAAAACTAGAATACAAAGAGATCTATATATTAAGACTATAATCTACATAGAAAGATAGCAGATCAGTATTAAATTATTATACCAAAATTTGTACGTTGGAGAAGTACTAAAATATTTTAGGATGACAATGATCACATGAGCGAAAATAGTTATTGAGTTAGTGCAGCGCCAGTACTGGTTTGAAAAGCTTAGGAGTTTTATAACGAAATATCTTTGATTGTGTCTATCGTGCCAATTTCAAAAAAAGCCTTCAGACATACAACGTGGTTTTATTTATAGATTTTCTTATACGCGAATTGCCATAGTAAGGCTTTCACTAGTCATGAATTTAGAAATTATACTATTTCTAAGCAAATTAAAATATGTTGCCTGTCCTCGAGCAAGTCGAACGTTTTGATCGCACAATTTTAGTCTTTAATCGTTTATACATGATAATGATTGGGAGCATTTTGTTCCTCTAGTAGAAAATTCCTCTAGTATAAATAGTTGCACTCAAAAGTGGCTGGCATATGGCTTTAAGCGGCGGTTTGGAATATTTTCTTTTTGGTATACCTTCCCAGCCCCCAGATTTATGCGAGCTCAAGCCCAAACTAGTATATAATTAAAAAACTTATCTCATAAATGTAATGAAAGGTATGACAAGAATCTACTTTCTAGTTTAAAAATATAAAATTGGTGATCTTGTTCAGGTTCGAAGAAGAATAATTAAAAAAATGTTTTAACTAGTGGAAAACGATAAATATGCTGAGTTCATATAAGATTGTAAAAGTGTATGATAATGATCGTTTTAGAGAGTATATCTTTAAATAAAAGCGGTAGAAAGTATAATAAAAAGCTAGGTAAAAATGAAGAATTCTTAGTCTAATCACTTTGTGACGATGAGTGATAAAAATTATTAATTAATTTGGCTTAAAAATATTAGTTATTTTCAGTTAATGTGATAAAAAATAGAGGTGTACTGATTAGAATTATGTGAAGCTTATTATTAAAATTTAATGTTGAAAAAAAATGTTTTATAGAGGTGTAGTTATTAAAATTATATGAAGTTTAATTATTCAATTTAATTTCGATGTTAATGTATTTAAAAAAAATTACATATTTTATAGAGGTATTATTTAAATTTAATTTTGATTAATTGAGATGCACACATGAATGTTTAGTAATTATTGAATGTTTTTATTAGTTGTGTAAAATTAGAAATTGTTTACACGTTGTTTTATTTAGCGACTTATTGATGTGTTCGATAGTCGTATACAAATGACTAGACTGGTGTGTCCGCTAGTAGTTATTTGGGTGACAATCTTGGTGTGTCCGTTTGTTACATATGAACATATTCGCCTGGTGTGTCCGGTGGTATGTAATGGTCTTATCTTGGTGTGTCCGTTAGTCAAATATGTAGAAAGTACTAGCCTGGTGTGTCCGGTAGTAGTAAGATGACAATCTTGGTGTCGGATTGTGTTGACAGTATAAAATATATAAAAAGAAAAACATAAAAGCATCCAATGTGCATGTCACTAAAACTAGATAAAAATGCACTACCAAAAATTATGAAAGACAATAAAAAAAGAGATAAATTCCTGCAATACTGTAAAAAATTATGTAAAACTGTAAACAATAGAAATAAGAGTTAGTAATAATATGTTAAACAAATATAGTATAGTATATTAGTGGTAACATATATAATGTATAGTGTATAAAAAGGATAAGTCTAATAATAAGAGCATATATAAATAAGCCTAAACTATAAATAAAAATTACCGACTACCCCCAATTATTATCCCCGTGTTACATAGTATAAGAACAAAGAAACTAAATAAAATAGATAGATAGATAGTTAGGAACGAATGCGGATGAATGATAGAAAGACATAGTATGCGGAATGAAAGTGCGAGAAGCATAAAAGCGAGAACTGGTATGAAAGAAGTAGAAAACACAGACTCCTTCCCCCATGTTGGAGGCTCAGGATAAAAAAAAAAAAAATGTGCATGTCAATATGAACATAATATGTGTACAGCCATTACGAGGGCGTAATCTAAATATCAAGACGGCCGACTGGTTTAATCATAAGTGTTAACACTATTAATTTTATTTTCTATCATTGCTACTGTGTTTAGCCGACAATAAATAATAATAATAATAATAATTGTTAAAAATAGGAATGAAAAAAAAAACAATTAAGTAAAATATTTTCTATCATTGCTACTGTGTTTAGCCGACAATAGATTATAATAATAATTGTTAAAATAGGAATGAAAAAAAAAACCAATTAAGTAAAATATACTTGTGCTTTAATTTTTCCGTATGTTGTAAAATTACGAGGTCGTAATCTGTAAATCAGGAAAGGCCGAGTGTTAGTTATAGTTGCTCAATTGACTATTATTGTTTATTATTTAAGGATCATATTGATTCTTCATAATTTGTTAGTTATAATTTTATATTTTATTATATTAATTTGATATTGATTATTTATAATGTATTATTTACAATTTTATAATATTAAAAACGATATCGGTTAGTTGTATTTGTAATATTAATGTTTTAAGAGTATTGTCATCCACCGTTGGGAAATGTTATACGTAGAAGACAGATGCCGCCACCTTACACCCAACGGTGGGGAAATGATGTATAAATAGTTGTAATTGCCATTTTGTAAGGATTCCTGTTAAGTGATCGAAGTAAAGAGGAATTGCTGAATCTCTGTAGTCTTATTTAAAATTTATTACTAACACTATCTATTCCATACTGACCTTTAAAAAGTATCTAGGGACGAATCATACATAAATAGAAAATGCGAGCAAAACCGCGGCCGAAAGCTAATATTTATCATTTATGGATTATATGCGTAATGTAATGTTTATTTGCTGTTCTACTTGTGGGTCAATGAAGCAAAGATTGACTTGGTATAAAAATATTTAAATCGCGGAGTCATCAATCATGAATCAAACATTTTCATTAAAACTTCTAAATAAAATCAAATTGTATTTTATTTAAATTTCAAATATTTTAAATCATTATAAGTCACCACCAGCTCGAAAGACAGTAAAATAAAAATAAAACGTGTGTGTGTACTTATGTATGTACGTAAGAACTTATACTCCTTTGGTGTAACAGAACAGAAATATTTAAAGATTTCATCCCGTATGTCACAACTCTTTGTTTGTAAAAGGAATGCAGCTAACTTCATCATGTCGCATTTTGGCTGTTGGTGTGCGCGCGCATCGTAAAAATTTTACTCTCATATTTTTTTCTAAACATGCTTAAAGAAGTATAACTTCAAAAAATTTTATTTTTATACTAAGATTTTACATGCATCGGAAGTCACATTCATGTCATGATTGCAAAATAAGCTTTTTATGCAAGTCAAGACGTGGTCAAGCCCTAGTTTAGTTTATAATATAACTATTGAATAATAATAATTCGTTATACTTAAATATTAACATTTCATGAATCATTTATAAATGAAACAAATGAAGTAGAACTATAATATGGTACCTAAAGAAATTATTATCGATTAGCGAAATTTTAATCAGTCATTATATAATTATGGTGTGACGTGATTTAAAACGTATGGATTATTTTTGTGGCTGTCATTTTTTAGTTACAGCTAATGGTTAGTGCAAGTTTGATTCCAGGTATGTTTAAAAATGAATTTGTTTTATTTTTTTAAATATACTAATACTAGTGATTTACCCTCGCTTCGCTCGGGTGCGTCCCTAGGTGTTCTATATAGATATAACTGCCTCGGTGGTGTAATGGCTAGCATGTACGGCTGCACACCCGGAGGTCCTGGGTTCGAGTCCCGGGTCGGGTCAAGTTTAGTTATTGAGTCTTTCTGTATAGTAAGCCTCAGTAACAGCCCGTAGTTGGGAAGTAGGCGGCGTTTCACCCCCGTGCCTCGGGGAGCACGTAAAACCGTCGGTCCTTTGCCTTAACTCTCTCTGGTCGTGTCGAGTGGTCGTCCCACCAGAGTATGAGAGTGACAGGAATAGAGAGTGCACGTTGTGTCTGCGCGTACACTTATGCACTATAATATCTCCTGCGCAGTTGGCTAGTCTCAATGAGATTGGCCGCTGTGGCCGGAATCGGTCAGGAGAACATCATATAGATAAAAATAGTTATTGTGAGCGTACCTTAAGAGGTAGACACCTGCTATTGCGGATTTTTCTGTAGGCCTTTTTAAGATCTACAATTTTCAAATACATTGTTTTGATATACGAGTATCTCTAAAGGTTTAGTCAGCGTTAGCCTTTCGCTTAGAGCGATTAATAGTTTTAAATCTGCAATATCTTCTAAGATATTAATTTTAATGATATGCTGTAAGGGACAATTTTGATCTACATTAAATGCACAAAGTATTTAAAATATTTAATTGTATTAATAATTAAATATTTTAAAATGGCTTCGAAAAACCCATAATTTTTTAGAACGTTTAGAATTAAAATAGCGTATTAAAGCTGTGTATGTCTGTTTATTACGGTTAATCTCTGAAATGTACTAATTATGAAGGATTTTTCACTGGTAGATAGCTGATGTTATAAGGAGTAACTTAAGCTACTTTTAGTTTAGAAAAATAATAAGGGGTTTATTTAAATAAAACCTACCTAGGCATACACGCGAGCGAAGCGACGGTAAGTCGCTAGTTATACTATAGGTATGTATAAATTAACAATTTATCTTTCTATTTATATGTTTTACAGTTGCGTTTAAACAAAAAAAACATAACTTCAATCTTTTAAAGTATATATCTTCTATACATACATATTATAATAAAATTCTAGCTGAGTAGAATTTGTATATTAAATATTTTTTTGTTTGAGACCCTTCCCAGGGCTTCAAACTATCTTCTTACCAAATTTTATCTAAATCGGCTTAGTAGATCCAGAGATTACCCCCTACGACGTCACAAACTCACAAACTTTACCTCTTTATAATATTAATATAGATAAACAGGCCGAATCTATAGTTTTTAGAATTTTTGTTTGTCTGTCTTTCTGTCTGTCTAGAAACGCATCACATGAAAACCACTGGTCATATTTTGATGAAATTTAGTATAATGATAGCTAGTTCCGGGTCAACATATAGGATACTTTTTACTGCTGGAAAATATCTCATCTCTGATCTGTTAAAACGTACCAAGGGACGAACCCAAGCGGACTGAGGATGAGTCGCTAGTTTTGTTTATATATTTATTATACTTTAGTAAGGAACACGTGTTACTGACCTAATATGCTTAACTCGAGTGAAATTTGTTAATTTTGCGTTATGCGATATTTATGTAACTGTAAGCATTATTTTTCACATATAATTTAGTATTTGTATCCAATACTTGCTATTTAATATCTCTATATATAACTAAAGGTATATAATATAAATTGACTAGTTTCGTCTGTTCATTAATTTTTTTGCAATATTTGTTCTATGTAACAATCATATTATATGATGGGACAACGATTAATACATCTTTATTAGTAGATCGTGGGATAGTAAAGTTTAGGTGAATTAGCTTGTATAATAAAATGCTGTTAGGACACTAACACACAACACCATCTAGTTCCAAGGTAAGCTACGAGGCTTGTGTTATGGATACCAGATAGTTGATACACTACACATATATATAACTTTAAATACGTATATTATAAATATAAACGCCCATGACTCGAGTACAAACTGTTCATCACACAAATGAATGCCCGCAGTGCGATTCGAACCCGCGACTGCTGGCACAACAAGTAGGGTCACTACAAACTGAGCCAAACGTGTCGTCAAATATCCTTGTTTTAAAGTTTTCCATAAATGGAAAATTTAAATGAAAGTATTTATTCTAAATATATGAATAATTAGTCTATCCCTCTTTAATTTTTTTTGTTTCTGAAGCAGTTAGGTATTATGTGTTTTGTTAATTCGTTATTGAAGTTACTAAGGTATAATTATAGATACTGGCTAAGTTAGTTTTTAACTAATGGAAATAAATAAACATGCGTTGTTAAAAAATAGTAATAAAAAACTATAAATTCATATTTTTTTTTATTAAACCGAATGAAGTGAGAAAAACATAATATATTTCTGACATATTTTATATTTTTATAAATATAAAATTTTTAAGTGATAGTCCAACAAATTAATGTAATTTTAAACATAGATAGTATATAAATAAATTAGCGTTTTTTTTCAGATATATTCAATTTTGTCATTATTCGTTTGTATGTAAACAATTACGTAAAATTACGAAATCCCATCCCTACGATAGTCCACGTAGTGTCGTGCTGCATCTCGATTAAAGCAATCATTTTATCGATATTGCGATAGCTCCGTGATGATAGACATCGAGATATTGATGATAACTTATCGATTCTGTTTATACTAGGATTCGTTTTAATGATTTTTTTTTAATGTCTACTATTTAATTATTAAAGGACAGTGTGGTGAAATTTTTGGATAATTAAATATATTTTGGTAAATATTGTCCATTATATCACAGCCTTGGTATTTAAAATAGAAGATAAGAATGATAGATAAAAACAAAAGATTTTGTTTAAAATATGCCATATTAAAATATAATTTTCTAATAGGTTAATGAATTTTAAAATCGATTATCATTATTTTTGTTTATTTCTATTAACATTCATTGCGCAAATTTTATACTTTATAACATAGCATATATTGTATAAATATCATATTAGGTAGTTTGTTAAATTCATTAATTTTCAATTCAAATTCTAATCAATTATAAGTACCACAGTCTTTATAAAATATATAAAAATATGTTTAAGTGTTTAGTTAAATATACTAATTAAGTTATTATAGTTAAATAGGTATCGATATTTTATATACAAAAATGTAAGTGACCTAAAATAATATTAACTAATTATGCACAACAGCTCAAAACACCGGAATGTGGAATACCATTAAAAATAGACTATAATAAAACGTACAGCGCCATTGTAAGCGAGCCTTAAAACTTTTACTTGCGAACTTTCAGCTTCAGCTTCCTTCCGGGCCGGCGTGCGCGCGCGATACGCCAGTCTGCGCCCGACCGCCGGAGCGAACACAAGTGCCGACGCGTGAGTGCCGTGCATATGCTCAAGTGAACCTTAGTGCTCTGAAGTGGAGACGCGTAGTGCGACCGCTGGGCCTATAGGCCCTGGCGGCATGGAATCCCCACAGATGTATGATGCTGCAGGAGCTCCGCCTCCGCCGCCACAACCAGACTTGAAGAAAAATGGAGAAGATAAACGGACCCCCTTCCCGCCACCAGATTTGGACGAGCTCAATGGACAGGAAATTAGCTTGGACTTGCAACACCTCATTGAGGACCAGTTCCGGGGGGAGGAGACCATGGCCTTGTTCCAGGAAATCCTCCCTGGAGCAAGATCGCCTCAGCAACGACCATTCCGGACCACATTGGCGTATATGCCACAGCCAGTCCACTCTGGCGCATCATACGCTGCCCCAGTACCAAATAACTCACACGAGCAAGCACCCCCAATAAAGGAGGAACCTCCAGAACCCCATGATTTTCGACGGGCTGTGACATGTGCACAATACACTGGACAGTATAATCCACAACCACCTGTTGGAGTCAGCGGCCCTTACGGGGGTGGTTTTACCCCTCTCCCTCCTCTTGGAGCTCCTCTCTTACCTCCCTTGTTAAAACACAAGCCAGCGCCAGCAAGGCGGTCCTCTGGCAAAGTGATAGACAAAGGCACAGACGAATACAGACGAAGACGGGAACGCAATAACATTGCTGTGCGGAAATCGCGCGAAAAAGCCAAAGTTCGCTCAAGGGAAGTGGAGGAAAAAGTTAAAACATTGCTGCGTGAGAAGGAGGCCTTGTTAAAGAGGTTAGAGGCGGTCACAGGGGAGCTAAGTCTGCACAAACAAATGTATGTCCATCTAATAAATTTGAATCACCCAGAGATTACGGAGTTATGTCGGTCCATGTTACAGCTTGGAGCGCCGCATTCGTCGGATCACACGCTTTGACCGTAGGTAAGTTATACATGATGCTCTACGATTGTAGAGTTTGAAATTTGTGATAATGTGCGTTACTTTCCTAAATTATTTACATAATATTTACATGTTAGATTCCTTCATTTAAATGTAAATAGAGAATTAGTCATCATTCGTTATATAGGTTATATTGTAATTCAAATGTTAAATTTGTAAATATATAATTATTTTAGTTTGGTAAGTTTTATTATATGTATGTATGTTTGTGTTAAAACAGATTTGTATTAAAAAATGACTATCTACATTATTATTCCTTATAATAAGTTAAAGTTAAATCAATTTTAGCTCAATCAAAAAAAATGTTTTAGTAATTAAATGTAGTATAATCATTAAAAAAAACACTAATGTACTATATTAATTAATTAAACATTCTGAAAAAATGTAATTTATTGTAATTAATCACTTTGACTTTATGAAAGTTTTCATGATTTTCTTCGAAAGAATACTTTGCATAATTACACTGTAATGATATCAATGAACGATTACAAAGTAAAGAATTGACTCTCTACATAGAGCGATAATTGCTAATGTGTCATCAGGATATCCGGTAATGCGTATTAAAATATTAAAATCAACATCGAATCTTATTGTTCCCTGCTAAGTAAGAGTCTGTGATGAAGAAATAAATAAGATAAAGTTTTTTTACCCACCAACCCAGCACTTTACCTGTCTGATGAATCGTGAGAGAAATTATAATCATTAAAGTATGGATAAAACTAACTTTTCAGAGTTTTTCGCGGATTTATTTGGATTTTTGATTACCGACGTTTCGAATGCTTTACAGCAATCATAGTCATGGGAAAGACTAAGGTTTCAGACGTCTCAAAGGTCGATGTATATAGTAGATAGTTTTATTTAAAATGTCAAATATTCACGTAAATAGAAAGTATTTTATGGATAAAACTTAAAATGAGTTAGATACATAGTACTATGAAAGTATGTGACCTAATTCCAGACAATCTTAAATTTGGATTTTATCTTTATCTCTATATTATAGTAATTTATCCGTCTGTTAGCGATCGTGTAGCTTCAAAACGATTTGATTGATTGAGGTCATATAGACAATATATCTATATGTTTTTGTACTTACTTATAACGAAGATGTTAATATTTTTGTACAGACCAAAACAACTTTTATAATATGTTATGATTTTGGACTAAAAAATTAAAAGAAAAATATTTTGGACCCCATACGTGTCGTCATAGTCGGTTTGTTAACATATAAAATTAAATATATTTTTTTTATAAATATTATACTATATATATGGACAGTAGAATTTGAGTAATTTATGGCTAAAACTTTTCATTTTAGTTTGAAATTGACTTTCTTTTAACACATACTTTTAGTTTTTCCGATGCCTTTTGTTATATTTTCTGGTCACGTGTCAATATCACGTGTAACCAATGTTTAACTTTATGAGCGTTAGTCAGCTTTAAGCTGGTCTCTAGTACTTGTATTTCCGCGATTACTCTTAAATAGTTGAATAAAAAATATATTTCAATGAAATAGATAATTATTAAAAACGGAGTGAAGCGGGTTCAAATCCCAGGTCTTGCACCTCTGGTATTTTAATGTACGAATCATTTCCAACATGATTACCACTTGTTTCACGGTGAACGAAAACACGTGAGGAAACCTCAATGCCTGAGAGAACTAAAGTCCGACAACCCGCACTTAGCCAGCATAGTGGGCTATGGCCTGATCCCTCTCGATTGAAAGAGGCTTGTGCCCAGCATTACGATGTTAAAAAGGGCTGAATACATACATACATATATAAATACATACAAACAAATAGTTATAATACTGAAAATCATTCCAAAGGTAATTTTATCTACAGACTCTATGTAGAGTCTAAAATTAAATAATTGATACACGTTGTTTCACGCCACTTTACTTTCACCTAGTACAAACTTCCTGAGCAAACATCCTTCATGCATAGAACACTCTAATTTTATATTTAAAATTCAACAAAAGCTTGGACCAATAACAACATGTTTATTGTTTATTATATGTTATATCGCAGTGACATAAAATCTTGATGTTGTATAGGAAGTGATTTCTTATATAAAAAATTGTTCTTAGATTTATAGTATCCATATATATATAACGTACTTTTTATTAGAGTTAAAATTTTATATTCTATCTTTCAAATATTGCAAGCAATTGATCGAAGTCATTTTTGGCATAGAGATAATTTTAGAATCGGAAAATGACATAGGCTACTTTTTATCCCCTAAAAATTAAGTAGATCCCGTGGGATATAAATAAGTAGTTCGTTGTAAAAAGTTACTTAGATGCTCTAGTAGAGCATATTAGGAAGTAATAGATAACAGCATACCATTACTTTCATCTTGACCTTAAATTCTCATACAAAATTTAACCAATTATACCAACACCCTTTAATAGAACGCATACACTCATAAGTTATTCAAATTTAAACCTTATTGCTTTAGAATAGAGTCGAAATTCGTACAGGAAGTCAAATATTGGTCATCCTATCAACATGTAATACGGACGCACATTTGGTAACCAAAGGTTTTATAAATGCGTTACAGTTATATAATTAATATATTTTATTACTTAATCCGAAAAAATATGTTGAAAGTTGAAATTTCCATAGAATATGTACATATTTCTATTGCCGCTATAACAACAAATAATAAAAATACAAGAGCCAATTTTTCAAGTTCATAATCGATCATCGAAGTTAATATACTACGTACATAGAATAAAAGTCATATTAATAAAAAGTACGTGTACGATGGTACGGAACCCTTCGTATGCGAATTTGACTCGCACTTGACCGATTTTTTTTATTTTATCAAACATTCATTGAAAATGTAACAAAATGATTAATAGTAGGATTACATCTCTGAAAAGGACGAGAAAAGAAGTCGCTTTAATCTGTATGCTTATGATATTTTACTTTTGAAATTTCAACCTAAACGTCATGTGAATAGAGTATGTTTTAAAAAACTATGTCCGATAGCGTGCAACAGGTCACGTTTACGTTATAATGTAGAGACCATTTGTTTTCATACGATTTGAAATGTTTTAACGTTGATTTTTATTAACTATGTTTGTCTTTTTGTTACATAATATAGGCTTAATCTACTCGTATTATAGTGGGCGAGCTGGAAACACACTAGGAGGTGGCCCACTTTGGTGAGCGATGTACCATGCAGGTTGCTCCTGGTACTTCTCTGATAGCAGAGTAGACCATTGGAGCAACCCCATGGCTGTTGTGGTGTGCTTCGGCAGTCCTGCGGTCGGGACGTCGTGGTTGAGTGTGTAAGGAAAGGTTTCGTTGGGTTTTAGTGGGTAGTAATGGCTTTTCTAGTCGGTGAGTCCCACATAACCACATGTATGTATATGTGGGATGTAGGTATGCGTAAATGCATTTGCCAACATTTAAAAAAAAGGCTACTAGCGACTCATCATTACTTCGCTCGAGCAAGTCCTTAAGTGCCTAATAGTAGCCTATGTGTTACTCCAGGTCATAGTCTATCTGTGTATACAAAATTTCATCTAAATCTGAATAGCCGTTTGATCATGAAGGAGTAACAAACATACATACAAATACAAACTTTCGTTTTTAGTTAGTTTTAGTTAGTTTTAGTTTTTTGAATATTTTCATAATTTAAAACAAAGCCATTTCAAGTATGAAAAGAGATGGCATATTTTATATACAATCAAGCGAAACTGAAGTACGCTGCTATTTTAGATTATTTGATAGATGAATAAAAAATTTATAGGAAACTGAACACTATTGTTTTAAGTGTTATAATATTTTTAATAGTTGACATCTATACCAACATTATAAATGTGAAAGCGTGTTTGTTTGTTTGTTGGTTTGTTTGTTTGTCCTTCTTTCACGTCGAAACGGAGTGACGGATTGGCATAATTTTTTCTGTGCAGGCTGGAGAGTAACATAGGCTACTTTTTACCGCGGAAGATTAACTAACTCTCTTGGGAAAACACGTTATAATACAATCGAAAAAAAAACGTTTATGATCAGAATTACTTGAAACTTGGTATTAATGCTCTTCAATACAATTAAATAAATACGTGTTTTAGTATTTCTCGAAATTCATCCTATAAGGGGGTAAAATAGACGATAAAAGTTTGTATGAAACTACCGTTTTAAAGATTTTTTTGTAGTTTTAGCGCGAGCGAAGCCTAGGGTTCTGCTAGTTTTAAATAAAACTATCTTTGAAGAGACTCTCCCGTGACAATGATCGCTGTAAAGCATTTGAAACGTCGGGAACCAAAAATCTAAATAAATCCGCGGAAAAATTCGGAAAGATAGTTATATTTAAGCGTTCTAGTTTAAATGTAGTTTAGTGTCTAACTACACGTATGTTATCTGACAACCACTAGATCTGACCTTTGACATTTTATATGAAAACACATAGAAAGGAGATTTTAAGTATTAACTTTTTACTATCAAACTGCATGTTTCATGTTAACTGTATGTTTTGATTTAAGATATTTGTTACCTCTATAATGTAGTTTCTTAGTAATACATAAGTGACCGATGCATGAATTAAAATTGCTCTTTTCGCTTTTTCCATAAACTTAACCTTATGATACTTTCCATCAACAATGTAAATCAAAGGCTTTAAAATCAATTTTCGTTTCAAAATTGAGAACTTTCTATACTCACCCCTATACTTCTATAAGAGATGAATATTCAATCCATCATTCGTACTGAAAGTTCTAAATCCAGTTGTTGAAACTGTGCATTTGAGCCAGTGGGCCCGTATTAATTTTACAAAAAATAAATAAATAAATATGTTGGGACATTAACACAGCACCATCTAGTTCCATGGTAAGCTACGAGGCTTGTGTTATGGATACCAGATAGTTGATACACTACACATATATAACTTTAGATAAATACATATTATAACTATAAACACACATGACTGGAGTACAAACATTTGTGCTCATCACACAAATGAATGACCCAGCGGGA